TTGTGCGTGGTGGTGATGGATGGTAGTTGGTGGTGGTAATGGGTCACCACCCGGTGATGGTAGGTGATGGCCAAAAAAAATTTTTATTTAAAAAATTGAAAAGTATAAAAAATCTGAGGTCAAGTTAGTCATAGTTATTCTATACATTTTTCGATTCTTGACATAAGAAATTTTTCAAAAAATTTTTATTGCAAAAATCGAAAAATATAAAAAAATCATCTGAGGACAAGTCAGTCATAATCATATTCTACATAGTCATAGTCATAATCATTTTATATTTTTCGATTTCTGCAATAAAAATTTTTCCCAGAAATTTCTCGTGTCAAAATCGAAGAATGACCATGTAGGAGTTGACCTCGGTCAATTTTTTATATTTATCGATTTCTGCAATAAAAATTTTTCATAAAGGCCCTCATGTCAAAAATCGAAGAATGACCATGTAGGAGTTGACCTAGGTCGATTTTTTATATTTTTCGATTTCTGCAATACAAATTTTTCATAAATGCCCTCATGTCAAAAATCGAAGAATGACCATGTAAGAGTTCACCTAGGTCAATATTTTATATTTCTCGATTTCTGCAGTAAAAATTTTTCATAAAGGCTTTCACGTCAAAAATCGAAGAATGACCATGTAGGAGTTGACCTAGGTCGATTTTTTATATTTTTCGATTTCTGCAATAAAAATTTTTCATAAAGGCCCTCATGTCAAAAATCGAAGAATGACCATGTAGGAGTTGACCTAGGTCGATTTTTTATATTTTTCGATTTCTGCAATAAAAATTTTTCCGAGAAATTTCTCGGGTCAAAATCGAGAATGACTATGTAGGATTTGACCTAGGTCGATTTTTTATATGTTTTGATTTCTGCAATAAAATTTTTTCTGAGAAATTTTTCGGGTCAAAATCGATATATGACTATGTAGGAGTTACCTAGGTCGATATTGTATATTTTTTGATTTCTGCAATAAATCGGTTAAATAAAGTAGCTTACATAAAAAATATTGTTAATGCAATATAGTTATTTTATTATATAATTTTCTATAATTTTATATTACATATATTATTATATATATATGCGTTGTATATAAAATATATAGGTCTAGCGCATTTTTTAATTATATTTAAAAATAAGTTTGAATAGAATATATATTATGAATTGCATAGATTCAACGGAAAAGAGTCTTTTCAAAAAACCAATTCAGAATTTGCTTATGAGTTGTATATGTTAATTAGCGCGCTAACAAGTCTAAAATCTTATAATATATGATTCTTATTTCACTTTTATCAATATAATGCATTCGAGTATTTTTATTATTTCTGATATTGCGGTATGTAATAACGTGAATTATATGCTAAATGCAGCTACCGTTATGTTATTGGTTACATTTATTATTATAAAAAATGTGCAAGCAGTTCTATTTTATTTTGACCAAATTAATGTAAAATTGTAAAAACCACGACTAAAAGAGGCTATTACGAAAAGGCTTGTTTTTGCTGCACTTGAAGAAAATAAAATAGACATCATTTCTTAATTACTGTTTTTGGAACGAGAATTCTAATGATGTCAGTTAATTAAAATTATGATACATGATGGGAACACATAAAAAAATTGAGCTTAAATCAGGAAAACGCGTGCACACGCCGCAATCATTCACGAGACAGATCGCTACGCTACATATATGTGTATCCATAATAATCATCATTATGTTTTGACATTAAAAATATAGAAGATTTTAGTAAAATGCTTATATATTTAATAACGGCACAATATCAGCAAACATTGAGCGCATGTACTTCGACAAAAAGTGATAAGTGCCAATTTATCCTGTTTCTGGAAAACATAAACGCGCTGAGCGCCGACCCGACCACGTCGGAGTCCCACAAGCAGAAAGCTGTCGACAGCCTAGCGTTTCGCTTATATACCCGACTCGGTAGCCAGCGCCGCGCCAATCAGAGCGCTTGGATTGAGCTCGAATCGAGGAAAACGCGTGTACA